CACTCTTTCATTTCAAATGTCTCAAGAAAGCCAACAGTAGAAAGTTAACTACTGCTGCAAATCCCAATACAAGCATTCAGAGAATATGAAGCTCTCACCATTCATAATCTCATGGCCAAAAAACATCTTCACACCTGGGACACTTCGACCTGTTTCCACGTTCTTCACTGTTAAAGAAAACAATTCATTTGGTTAATAATAATGTTTAAATTCCTAAAAGTGTAAGAAAGTACAATGCCTTTTGAAAATTGTACAAATCAGGGGCCAGCAGGTGGCGTGGTGATTAAGGGCATTGGACTCTTACATGACTGAGCATGGTTCGAGTTCCGGACCTGGTGGCTTGCTTTCTCACTTTCCTTCTCTCTCTCTCTGTCTCTCTCTCTCTACCCCTCTCTAGTCAAATTAAAATAAACAAAGTTAAATAAAATAATTCTTTTTAAAAATTGAACAAATCAGTTTTATAAAAACCCCAAATTATCTTCTCCTTGGAATGAAGAGTCAGTAATAAATGATAAAGCCCCAACCTTGAAACAAGTAGTATAAAGTACAGAATAAACCCTGGAATGGTACAAGAGAAATTGAAAAGGGCAATAGCACTCTGAACTTCAAAATCTCCTGAGATTACTGTAATGCCTTTGGGGCTAAGGATTTCTATTTATCATATTTCTGTTTATTTTTACTCCACCTAACTCCATAACAAATATAAGGCAGCTGGCTACTTCCAGAGTTCACGCCCTGCTTTGGATCATGCTCCATGCTCAAAAATATTATCAGGGATAACAACTCTGGCTCTTCAATGAAGACGGGAGGGAGTTGAGAGAAATTGAAATGTCATGTCTATAATGTGCTGTCATTTTTCTAGAAGAAAGTACTCATTGGGGCTGGCAGGTGGCGTGGTGGTTAAGGGTGCAGGATTCCCACATGGCTGACCATGGTTTGAGTCTCGGACCTGGCAGCTTGATTTCTTTCTCTCGTTCTCTTGCTCTGTCCCTCTCTGGTCAAGTTAAATAAAGTTAAATATTAAAAATAAATAAATAAAAAGTAAGTACTCATAGCAACTGTGTAGTTCCACACTTCTTGGCAAACTAAACAGGCTGAACCTTCACTATTCCATTGAATGTATTCTTACTGAGGTCAAAGGCTACTGCCTCTGTGTCAAATCCAAACACAATTTTACATCTCATCTTACTTGACTCTCTTCTCTGGCTTACAGGTTGTACTTTATGGTTAGTTTTTCTCCAACCACCTATTTAAAGCTACTACACTGAGTACCCACTGTCCAGGCACCTTGCTATTTGTCTACATTCAATTCCACGTAACATAATGAGCCAGCATCTCATTATCTCCATTGTGGAGGAACTTGAGGCTCAGAAATGATGAATGACTAGCTCAAGTTTACATTGCTAGCATTCCCCTGGGGGGTGATTTCTCGCTTTCTATCTCTGTCTCTCTTGTCTTTCTGGCGAGTACATGCGCCCTATAGCAAAAACCTCTCCAAAGAAAGAAAAAGAAAAGAAAGGCTTACATTGCTAGCAAAAAACCAGATTGGGGCTGGCAAGTGGCACGGTGGTTAAGGCAGCTGGACTCCCACATGGCTGACCGTGGTTTGAGTCCTGGGTCAAGCAACTTGCTTTCTCACTTTCCTTCTCTGTCTCTGTGTCTCTCTGGTCAACTTCAAAAAAATAAAATAAAATAATGACAATGAATAAAATTAAATAATTTTAAAGGGAAAAAAACACAATAGTCAAGGTTCACACCCGTGCCTCAGTGGATCTTGCTGCACATTCTTGTAACCATTTTTACACTGTCTCCCTGATTTGCTCCTTCTGACCTCAACTGCCTGTACCATCTCTGCTTGCCCCTCAGAGTGGTGCTCCCCAAGGTTGTACCTTTCATTCTTTTCACTTTTGCTTGAATGACCATATTCACTTCCAGCTGTCCTGACATCCATTATTTCTCCTGAAAGGACTCTCTGATTTCTACTCACTTTTTAAAATAATGACAAATTTACTTTAAAATTTTCAAACTGAGGGGCCAGCAAGTAGCAGTGATTAAAGTGCTGAATTCCCACATGACCAACTATGATTCGAGTTCCGGACCTGATGGCTTGCTTTCTCACTTCTCCTTTCTCTCTCTTTCTGTCTCTCTCTGGTCAAATTAAAAAATTAGCAATAAAAAATAAAATTAAATAGGGACCAGCAGTTAGCGTTAATGGCTATGTCGCTGGACTCCATGTAGTTGACTGCGGTTTGAGTCCTGGAGTCGGTGGCTTAAAGTCATGCCAGGCGCGTGTGCGTGCGTGCCCAAGATCCTGAGAAGAGAATGGAGGAGAAGGGATTGTGGCGAGGCCATCCATTGGATGAATTCATCCATTGAATCACCCCTGGGGGGGGGGGGGTGATTTCTTGCTTTCTGTCTGTCTTTCTGGCGAGTGCACGCGCCCTATAGCTAAAACCTCTCCAAAAAAAGAAAAAAAAAGAAAAAAAAGAAATCTTTTTTAAAAAAGACTTTCAAACTGAAATGATCTTCCACTAATCAAAAAACCTGCTCCTACAACCATTTCTATCAATCAGTAACCACTACACATCTAATCTGAGTCATAAAGTAGGTGTCCTTTTCCATTGCATTTTGCGTATTATCTAGTTACTAGGTTACTTATTCCATCTCCTGAGTTTGTCTAGAATCTTTTCTCTTCAATACTTGTCACACTTTAGCTCAGACCCCCATGGTTTTTTTTCTTTCTTGTATTCCTTGTTTCTTATCACTGCCTCTAGTTTCTCCCAACTCGAATTCTTCCTTCAGGATTATGGCGTCACCACACCCCTTTGGAGAGTGCTTGCTCCTCTCTCCCTCTCCGTTTCTCTCTGGTTAGCACATGTGCCCTCTGACAAAAAACAAAAACAAAACAAAACCAAACCTTCTTTTACACCGCTGTCATACTAATATATTTTGTCCAAATAGTACACAAAATTAGTAAACAAGTGAAAAGAATATGTTTGACCCCTGTAAGGATATTTTTTCAATATGTGAAAACAAAATATTAATTTTTTTCCTAGAAAACTAGCAAAAACAACAACAACAACAACAAAAACTAAAGACGCGCACCAGGATTGAAATAAAACAAACAAACAAACAAAAAAAACCCAATGCTAGTGGGGCCAGCAGGTGGTACGGAAGTTAAGGCGCTGAACCTTCACATTGCTGAACTGTTAGTCCCACATCTGGCAACTTGAAAATCATGCCAGGCGCATGTGCATGTGTGCCCAGAATCCCAAGAGGAGAAGGAATTGTGGCATAGCCATCCCCATTGAGGGCTGATTTCTTACTTTCCCTTTCTGTGTCTCTCTCTAGCGAGTGCAAACCTAAAAACAAAAAATCAATGCTATAGTATTTACTGAAATTCACTCATACATTACTAGGAGCAAAATAAAGGCACGATCCTTTTGGAAAATTATTTGGAAATAGGCATCATTAAAAATATACAGGACCAGGACCAACCAGTCAGTGTGGTAGTTAGGGCAACTGGATCCTACAGAGTTGATTACACAGTCTGAGTCTCAGCTTAAAAAGCATGCCAGGTGTATGTGTGTGCGTGCCCCAGATCCCGAGAACAGAGAAGGCATTGCAGCATGGCCATCTCCCCTGTTAGGTGATTTCTCCCTTCTCTCTCTTTCGGTATCTCTTTGGTGAACACATGCACCCTGCAGCGAAATTAAAAAAAATATATCCAGAGCCAGTTGGTGGCATGGTGAATTATGGATTTTTTTTTTTTTTTTAGTTTGCCAGACAGTATGTACACTCACCAGAGAGAGAGAAAGAGAGAGGCACCCACCTTAGAGAATGATCACGCAGCAATCCCCTCTCCAGCACTCTTCCTTTTGGATTTTGGGCACACATATACACGCACCCAGCCACCAGCCTCACGGTGGCCCATGGAAGCCTATTTTAACTTGAAATACAGTTTAACAACAACACTCATCTCTCAAATGCCACTTATACATGTTTCAATTGTGAACCTCAAACTTATCATGCCAGGAAAATAACTATCCTAGCAAATCAGTATTCTAGGTGAACAAAACCTCTATATATCAGAGTTCTGGGCCCAGTGAACACATGGACGTTCTGAGAGGGTGGCACAGGGGAGGTGGAACTTCCGTGTCTCCTCCCATATACCTTGCCCTACGTATGTCCTCCCTCTGGCTGTTCCTGAGCTGTTTATAATAAACCGGAAGTGAGTGGGATGTAGAGCTGAGCATGAGGATGGCAGATGATCACTGAGATAGCAGAGCAGGAGCACAGGGACCTGGTCCCTGCTGGTGTCTTCTGGCAATGACACTATTCTATTCCTTAGCAGCCACCTCTGAACTTCTCTTTTGCGTGAGAAAAATTAACCCCTTACTGTCTTTGTGAAATTGAAGTTAAAAGCAATTCTGAGTTGTATTTTTAAATTTCAGGATGCATATAGACAGCAATTTTCAAAAACTATATACTGAAAATTTCCACTATCTTGTCAATATAAGTATAGTGGTGGGAATAAACCAGAATATGCAGCTTTGTTCCTCCATTAGAGAAAATAATGTTCTCAACTTCCCCTTACCCCTCTCCTCAAATGGAATAAATGCCACCCTCCCAGTTGCTAAAGGAGCCCAATGCCATCTCTCAAATTCAGTCCTTAACTTCTTAAAAGACAGAAGATAATGAGAAATAGGATGAGACCTTTCTTCAGGATGACAATCTTGTTAGGGTCCACATGCTGGAGCACACCCTCAAAGATGCCACAGACCAATGTGAGTCTCACCCTTCTCCACAAAATCTGATTGAGAAATTGGTAGTCACTGCTGAGATCCATGCTCTTTGATTCCAAAAGGAGTCTTCAAGTAGTCTTCTTTAAGCATCTAAATACTTGAAAATTGAAAAAGAGATCCATGATTTAAAAAAGCTACTTTGGGTACCAGCAGTTAGCATAATGGCTATGTTGCTCGACTCCCATGTAGTCGACCACGGTTTAAGTCCTGGACCTGGTGGCTTAAACTCACACCGGGCATGTGTACATGTGTGCCCAAGATCCCTAAAGGAGAATGGAGGAGAAGGGATTGCAGTGTGGCCATTCCCCTCGGGGGGAGGTGATTTCTCGCTTTCTGTCTCTCTGTCTCTGTCTTTCTGGCAAGCACATGCGCCCTATACCAAAAACCTCTCAAAACAAAAAAAAATTACAACAATGCAGAAATGAACAAAGAAAAAGCTCTATCTAACTATAACTCATGGTGCCAGCAGGTGTCACAGTGTTTAAGGCACTGGACTCACACATGGCCGACCATGTTTCAAGTCCCAGACCTGGTGGTTTGTTTCCTTTCTCTCCCTCTTTCTCTCTCTCTCTCTGGTGAATGCGCATGCCCTATAGCAAGTTAAAATAATAAAATTTTTAAAAAAGCTATCATTTAAAACAAATACTTTTTACATTCTTTCTTTAATTTGCCAGAGTGTGTATGCTTGCCAGAGAGAGAAAGAGATCAAGACGGCACCTCCCAGAGGAATGATCATGCCTGCAATCCTTTCTCCTCCATTTCTCCTTTCAGGATTTTGGCCACACAGCCTACATGCTTTCCAAGCTGCTAGGTCTGGGACTTGGCCCATGTGGTTGGCCATGTGGGAACCTGCACATCAACCACCAAGCCACAGGCTGGCCCAGTACTTTTACATTCTTCAGTGTAATTCTGTAACTTAAAAGATCAATCTTTTTTTTTTTTTAAATTAACATTTATTTACTTATTTGAATTTCACCAGAGAGGGACAGAGTGAGAGAGAGAGAGAAGGAGAGAGAGAGGAAGCAAGTTGCCAGATTCGGGACTCGAACTGCAGTCGGCCATGTGGGAGTCCAGAGCCCTTAACCACCACGCCAACTGTTGGACCCAAAAGATGAATCTTCTTTTGTTTTAGTATCTTTTAAAACAATTCTACAATTTGGATAGCCTTATATTTACAACCTAGATACATGTTCTCTGATGGTTTAAACTTAATGACCAATTACCTTTGCCTTACTAAGAAAATTCAACCAGTGAATTTTGCAATTTAGCCTCACTAGAAAATACCAATGAAATAATAACATAACCCAACTTGGAAGATGAGAAGTTGCACAGCATTTTAAATCTATACATATATATATATTTTAAAGAGAATTGTTTTATTTATTATTATTTTAATTTTGCTATAGGATACATGCACTTACCAGAGAGTAAAAAAGAAAGAGACAAAGTGAGAAAGCAAGTCAATAGGTCTAGGACTTGAACTGCAGTCCACCATGTGGGAATCCAGCGCCTTAACCACCAAGTAAACAAACTGCAGACTCCTAATCTATATATTTAAAGATCTAGCAAGTATTTTTTTCTTTAAAAATTATTTCATTTTATTTATCATTATTATTATTTTTTCAATTTGCTGGGGCTGGCAGGTGGGGGGGTGGGTAAGGGCACTGGACTCCAACATGGGTGACTGTGGTTCAAGTCCTGGACCCGGTGGCTTGCTTTCTCACTTTCCCTCTCTCTATCTCACTCTGGTCAAATTAAAATAACTAAATTAATAAAGTAATTCTTAGAAAAAAAATTGCTACGCAGCACATGAGCTCACCAGAGAGACCAAGAGAGAACCTGAGAAAGCAAGTCGCCATGTCTAGGACTTGAACCACGGTTGGCTATGTGGGATTACAGTGCCATAAACCCCATGCCACCGGCTTGCCCCATCTAGCAAGTATTTTCACAAATATTATTTGATACTTACAATAACCATTATCTAATTTTCAGTGAGAAAACAGGCTTAGAGATTTAAGACACCTGTTCATAGTCACAGTGGAAAGTAATGAAACCTGAATACCAGGCCTCCAGTACTTGGTGGTGGTTTAATGCAAAACTAAGTGTTATACCTCCAGAAAGAACATAAAAATGAGTAACTGTGGGCCTGAGAAAAATCATGGTTTGTTCAAATTAAATCAACAGTCAAAAGGAAATATTTTAGAAATAATGGAGGACATAAGACTGGGGGGGAAAAGTAGCCCTTAATTACAGAGGTAAAAATTAATTTATACTTTAAAAAGATATGTAAGAAAGGTTTGTGAAAAGTTGGAATAAAGGAAATTAAAGAAACGACAAAGAAAACAAGAGAAATATGGGTGTGGTGGCGCCCGCCCTATGGCAAGAAAACAGAGAAATAGTACAGAAAATCAGAAAAAAATATTAACAAGGAGCAAAGAAAGTTTTGAAAGCTGCAAATTTAGGATCAAGAGGGACTTCAAGGCAGACTGAGAAAAGGGGGATTCATATCGCTGACATCAAGGTTTTTCCTACCACATCCATATTTGCAGGAATAAAGCAGCTCCTTGGAAACTGGCATACCCCAAAGGTTACTTACTCTATTTCTGTAAAGACAGATATCATAAGGTCAGACAAGGGCAAAGCAATCAGAAAACAAGACTACAACTTCAGCCTCCAGGGAATCCATGGGGCCTCAGGCTGTAAGGCTACAGACAAAAGTTTAAAACTGGAAACCTAAATTAGGTTGGGAAAGCGTTGAGTGTCCTAGTACTCAGCACTAAGTGATAGTGCTAAGTAGATAAGGCAGTTGAAGCCACAGGTTAAAAACCGAGGGTGTACTAATTTTTTAAAAAAGAATTATTTAACTTCAGGTATTTATTTTAATTTGACCAGAGAGGGACAGAGCGAGAGCAAAAGCGACAGAGAGAAAGGAAAAAGGCAAACCGTCAGGTCAGGGCCTCCACCGCGACCGGACACGTGGGAGTCCAGCGCCCTGAACCACCACGCCACCTGCCGGCCCTGAGGGTGTACTAATTTAACTGGTGACTTAAAACATTTTCATCAAGAATCAGCCACAGGAATAAAATGCAAAATTCCCCATTTTTAAGACAACACAAGAAACTTCGAATAACGGCGAGCCATACACTATAAATTCAGTCTTCTCCACAGTAAGGTTTTTTTTTTCTTCCGAAGGAAAGTTGCAGACTCCAAATCCTAATTTCAGCCAAATGATCTGGCACTAAAGGAAGAGGAACTGTTGTTCTGGATGAAACCTGAGGCGCTCCAAGTCCCCAGCGGCGGTTACCCAAGCCGGGTCCCGAAACACCGGAGAAAAGCCCGCGTTGTCCGCTCCCCAACGGCAGAGCGTGGGGCAGAGCGTCGAGTGCCGGCCTCCCGCGGAGCCAATCGGCGCGAGGCGGGCTCTCTCGCGCCCCC